AAAAAGGAACTGAGCCAGAACCAGCCTGGTATCTGGAAATAGAAGAATGCCATTCCTCAATACAGCATATGATAGTGCCCTAACACTGAGGTAAATTTGATAAACCTAAAACCTCTTTAATTCATAACATTTGGCCCTCTTTCTCTTCTTCCTCAACAGACTTCTTTCACTCAGATGCATCAATCAGTTTTTAATATCCTTTCTGGCATGAAATTCTGTAAGAATGATAAATCTACATTTCTGAATAGAAGAATAAGGTATTTGTAGCACTAATTAACCATTACAGCATTGCCTACATCAGAAACATTAGAAACAATTAAAAATGAAAAGTAGCTGGAAGGTCAGCCACAGCCAGAACAAGAACTGACATCCAGACAGATGAGATTTAGTAAACCTCAGCTTGCTCCTGCTGCTCTACTTTTAGAAAATAATGGAAAACCACAAACAGAAATAAGTTTCCCAGAATCTCCTGCTCTTACTGGATAATGTCACAGTAACTATAAAGTCAGCATCTGCCACACTTATTCAGAGTTGATGTCAGATAGTGGAATAAAGGGATTTGTTTAATATTATTTCTAAGTAAAAAGCTGTTGAAACTGTCAGCTGTTCATCTCCCTTTTCTTCCTATACGACGACGTTTTCCTCTTGAGGAACACCAGCTCCAACCTGGGTTGGAAAGCACCACTTCCTTCGTTTTTTTTCCACAAACACACATGCAGGAAAAGGTATTTCCTGGCCACGGAGGCATGTAGCATCACACAGTTCTTCTCCTTACAGCTGAGATGTTTTTCTCCCCTCACAAGGAGGCCACATCCGCACTGGGGACAGTCCCAGGTCCATCCCGGTCCCAGAGCAGTCCCAGGCATAGCTTCTGGGTCAGGACACGGATCGGTGGGGTCCAGGTCTGGGCAGAGCCACAGCTGTGACAGGGCGGCAGAGAAGCACCACCATGGCATGGGACATAGGCTCAGGACTGAGACTGGTGGCCCCATTTATGAACGGCCACCTGTAGCTACTTCTCTCTGCATTGTCAAACCAGGGCCGGGATTTTGTGATGAGCACTGCTTGCACCTGAAGGGTAAAAAACTCAGATACAACATGAAGGGGGCAAGTCCAGTATTCTTCAGATTGATGTTGTCGCCTTAACTGTCATCTTTTCAGGGGCCGCCACAGGAGATGTAGTTTACTGCCTTGTGCTTCTAGATGGCAGGCATTACTAAGAAATCTGAATTATTTATGACTTTTCTATCTTTTAGTCGCTGCTAGAAGGCAGATACAAAGAAGCCATAACTATCCCTACAACCGTTCAGGTTTTTTATCAGGATGCTGAGCGAATTAATGGAAACCTGTGAAATCCTCACTCTCTTTTGCATGTGTTAGACTTACACTTTCAAGCTGTATAGACATCTTGCTTGCAGAGTCTTCCTGCACACAGCTAAAGCTATTTGAGAAAAGTGACCCAAAAAAGAAGGGTTAATCACACTCTCAGATTTTTGCCTGTGAACACAAAGCAGAAGTCTTCAGAACAAATGGACTCAAATCTTCAAGGCTGAAGGAAAGATATTTCAAATGAACTTAAGAGAGTCTCCTGAGACAAAATCACAGATGTGGATAATGGATAATATATGTTGGATGCCTATCACAGAGTTTGTCATGAACTGTAAGACCAAAACCAGTAAGTCTACAAATAGTAAACCCACCATCTCTCAGGACAGGTCTATTAACTGCAAAATCAGGGGAGAAATGTTTTTCCGACTAGTGTTCAGAGCTTTAAATACTAGGATTTGCATCACTTCCCTTTTCTATGGCTAAAAGAGATATTACCAGTCCAGCTTGCTTTTTACATTTCATCCATTAACCTCAGATATACATCTACACAAAAGATTTATTTCTAATATTGTAGTAATAAACATTGAGCAGAAGGTTCCAGACATTTTCAAGGAGAAGCCTCAGAAAAAAAGGAGTGAGGAAGTATTTTTTCCAAAAATATATCTTTTTACTATAGACCTCATTGTCACTAGATGTTCTGAATACCACCTGTCCGAGATGGTTTAGTAATTACACAAATTCACGAAAAAAAAAGGATTAGGAAAACTTTTGAACCAATTGATGTGCATGTAATCCCACTATCCCTAGTGCCCATTTTCAGAAATCTGTAAATGGCAAACTGCCAGATGCTGGAAACCCGTACAATAGAAGTGACAAAGCACATCCCTCTGTGTTTTGTTTTGTACTTACAGTCTTTCTTAAGTATTCTCTAGGACAGATGAACTGTTGGTCTGACCTGGTACAGCCACTCATTTGGTCTTGTATAGCAAATTTTCTATTGCTTTATTTTGTGGATACAGTGACCACAGAATTTTATTCAGCGTTCTTACTGACACAGCTGTTTTGCCAAGCCTTAAAGCAAGCCTGTAGCTTGCATTTATGTCACCTCGTTAAAAAATTAATTGTGCCTCTTTCTTCAGCAGTAAATTCTGCCTGTATTACAACAATGCTGAACCACATATTTCAAAGCCTCCTCTTCAATGGCTCTGAGATGCCAGGTGATTGTAGTTATAAGTATTGGACTGGAAATAAATAATTATGTCTCTGAAAACTCATGTCTCATTTGATGCCTATTGGGTGAAGTCATGCTTTGGAGCTTCACTTTCTCCTAGGTTCCTCACCCTCTCATGTTTCAGATTCTTCTTAAAATGAAGTATTTTTAATTTTTATTAGTTGAAACCACCAGCATTTGTTTTGAGGTTTGTATTCCTTCTAGGTTCCTTTGTAGCATTGCTCTTTTTAAAAAGCTCACAACTTCCCCTGGTTTAGAAAAATCTCTCCATTTCCTCAATACAGTGCTTGTTCCCCTTTCTGGAAAACTAACGAAGTGACTGAATAAGATCATACCTTTTCCCAATGACTGGCCTCCCACAGCTTGCCTATCTGCAGAAGTTAGTGTGCTGTAAACATAGGTGTGAATTAACTTCACGATAATTGTTTTATATCCTTCCCTAGGTGGGTGATCTTAATGCACAGTAAGAAGGTATTATGCTGATTTCTAATTCAGGGCTTGGGTGTTATTCTGAACAGCTATCCTCCCCTAGCTACATCTTAGCTTGTAGATAATCACAATGCCTGCAGAGTGTTTTTCATAAGACATTTTTAGAAGAAACAAGAGAGAACTGTAGGCCTGCTTCAGCATCTTAGACTTGATGCCTACAGCTTCTAGGATGCATAAGATGTAATGCAGAGAAGATGGGGTGACTATATCAAAAGAAGTGGATTTACCTTCCTGCTTGACATCCTCTGGTGTTGATGGGTCAGGCTGAACAGCTGAAGGGAGCCAACATTAAAAGTACCAAAATTTGAAAAGGTTGATTAATTTGAATAATTGAATCGGTTTCAAGCCTAATTTCTTATAAAATAAAAATCCAAATATGAGATAGTTCATTATACTTTCAAATGCATATACATACCTATAAAAGTAATAAAACCAAGGAGTGAAATGAGTAAGCAAAGCTAAAATGGCTGGACATGAGAAGAAAAATTAGAGAAAATGGTCAGAACAAACAAACAAACAAACAAAAACAAACAAGCAACAACAAAAAAACAAACCCACAATATGGAAGACTGGGATTTAAGGGATTTGTAAGACTTGTAGGATATGTAGGATTTGAGAGACTGATCAGTTTTCCCTTCCACCAGCCAATGTTAAGGTTTCAGCTTGTGTTGGTTACTTGGACCCTAACAGCTAATGCAGAAAATAGCATGAGAAGACACAAGAACACAGGAGGGGGAATATGAGAAAAAAAGGAAAAAGCAGTCCAAGGCAAGGGATGAAGGATAGCATCTGGGACTGAATTATGCAAAGCCATTCTCCTACTGCTAAGGGAAGCTTCACTGAGCAGCCTCACTGTTTTCTGTTAAAATGAAGCCAAATGATCAAGACAGGAGTTGTACACAGAAAGAGAACAGACAGAACAGTTGCTAAAACATATGCAACAATTGCTCCTCCTGACTAATCATGAGAAACAGAGGAACATTCACCCTATTTTTAAGAGTGATTGAACCAGATAATTAATTGAAAAAATCAAGATCTATTGATTGTCATCTGTATTGAGAGAAGATTGTAAATCTGGAATTGTGTTGTTATTTTTCTTTTCCACTCTCCACTGCATTGCATCACAGTGAGTCACACAGTGTCTTTTTTCCATGCTAACTCCAAGACATGCTGCAGCAAATCAGTTGTGGTATGACAAATACAATGAATAAAAATGGTGCTCACCACCTTTTTAACTGTCAAATCCCTAACAAATTTTTTAAGCCATGGGATGGTCTGCTGTGTCAGAGGAGTTCAGCACTGAGTAAAACATGGCCCTGGATTTTATGTCTTTAAGTAATGTCTCTAAAGGTCAGTTCTTGCAGCCCATGAAGTTTTTACAATTGCTGGTAGCATGCCCCAGAAAAGGTAGTCACATTTAATAGAGTTAGACAATGCTGAAACCTGAGGTCAGAACCTTGCACACCCCATAAAATCAAAGCAGGAGGGTACCCAGGACAGGAAATGGAGGTCCCCTGTTCAGGGGTCTCCGGTTGGTTGGTTCTATCAATTGAGTCCAGAAGCACAAGACACTGAACTTCTGTAATGCTCTGCCTGATGCACTGACCCACCTGAAAGTCCTACCAAGGGACCTCCCTGGCTCTCCTCAGCCTACCACAGATGTTTCTGCAGACTCTGTCCTCTGCTCCAGGTCTACAGCAACCTATGGAAAGGACTATCAAGTAAGATAGCATGAGTCTAAGTGAGTCACAGTTGGAGCTTTATTAACATTGACTCATTTTGATGCGGTAATTGTTATTTTGTGTTGAAAAAAAATCCTGCCAGGAAATTTCTAATCAGCTCTCCAATAACCAGCAGCCTCTCCAGTGTCAATACTCCCCCCAGGTAAACTTACATGTGCAAATGTGAACTTTTGGTAAGCGTATGGTGTTGTCATGGTGAAGTGGTTTCATCCAGAATCCAGTTGAGTTATGAGCAGGATTGGCAGATCTGTGAGGACAGGCTGACCTGACACGGGGGATCAACAAGGCCTCGGAATTAATGGTTTAGAAGTAGGCTTCTCACTCTTCTTCAACTTATTCAGTCTGTCCTGTTAGACACACGTCAGTAAGTAGCATCCAGATGGTCAACTCATCATGTGCCCAGGTCAGTGGAGAGGATCAAAGACAGGTGCTCTAAAGGAATGGCAGGCTCTAAATAAAAGTAACAAGGATACGTCAGAGCAGAGCCCTCATTTACTTCAGTGAAAAAAGTGGTATCTCTGGGAGAAGAAGTACTTTTGTGGAGACAAAGAAACATGTTTCCAGAGACAACATTCTCCACAAAGATAGTCCCACTCACCAAGCAGAGCTTTAGTTAAAAACTCTCTGGAGGTAAGAGCTCTGGAGTGAAAGAAGTAGGTGAGAAAAGCTGTGGACACACTCGCCATCTGAGCAAACAAATATCATCACTGAATCACAAAATAGTGACAAAATCACAGCAGGTATTTCTTGTGTGAGATTCATTCTTTCACACATGAGCAGCATAGAGATACCCACACAGGACGAGTTGAGAAAGTATTCCAGCCAAGGTTGGACCAAAATTGAGTGGGTTCAGGGGATACTGTTAGTGCCTAACAGAAAAGAGAAAAATGAGAAATCACATTTGGAAACAGCAGGGAAAACAATACACTTTTAAAAACATGCTTTCAATCCCATATATCAGGCAATTTTAGCAGTCTTAAATGTGTTAGTTTGCATGCTTCTTATTGTTCACTTGGACATTCTCTCATGATAAATTTTATATATATATACATACATATATATATAAAATGTATACATTTTGTACATATGTATGTATATAAAAGCAGGCTTTATTCCATAACTTAATGGATAAAGATACTTCCAAGTGAAGTTACTCCGCATTTACATTAAAATATCTTAACATAGAATACAACAGCATCTACTTTCTTTTTCTCTCTGAAATCCCACAAACAATATACAAAATGCTTCTTGTCAAAATATTTTTGGCACTAATGGATTTAAAAGCTTCACCTATTTCTTAAACCACAAGATTTCTCAAAGTAAAAACTATTTGCAAAAAATAGTGGAAGGCACATCTGTTATTTATTTTCTTAAGAGTAAGCAGTCTTCAGTAAGAGGAAATATGTATTTCTGAACAGCTGTTGAAATGTTAAGGAAGCTCCAGCTTCTATGTAAGAATCAACTGGAACTTTAGATACACTGAAAACATATTGTAAAACTACTTCTTTTGTAATTATATAGCAAAACAGGAAATCTTAAAATATATGTAATGACAGTTAGTCAACCCCAGATTGACTAAATATTCACTCCTTTTGACCTAGAACAAGTTCATTTCTGTAAAAAGGCTGCTTTATCATAAATTAAATGAACTTCGAGTCAAAAAGCAAAAGAACTATTTTTGTGTAAAGGATTTTCATTTTAGGACAGGAAACAAGTTTTCCGGCAAACAAACACTGGCCTATGCCTACATTAGAGTGGAGCACGGGCCAGTAGAAGCATATTATGGAATAACACAGCTGGAATGGAGGAGCTTAAGGTCACATTGTACACCCTTGGTGGGGAGAGGGACCTGACCGTAACATCTACTATAGAATCATAGAATCATGGAATACTTTGGGTTGGAAGGGACTTTTAGAGTTCATCTAGTCCAACCCCCCCTGCAGTGAGCAAGAATAACTTCAACTACATCAGGTTGCTCAGAGCCCCACCCAACTTGACCTTGAATATTTCCAGGGATGGGGCATCTACCACCCCTCTGGGTAACCTGTTCCAGTGTTTCACCACCCTCATCGTAAAAAATGTCTTATTTATATCTAGACTGAATCTACCCTCTTTTAGTTTAAAACCATTATTAAAACCAGCACAGCAAAGATCTCCAGTAGTATATTTTGTTTAGCTTAAACTGGAAGAAATCCACTTTGTACACTCCAAGACTGCTCTGTAAAATAAGCCAAAGTGCAGCAAATGGGGTTGATTGATTCAAAACGGGAAACTGATCAATTTAAATTAGAGCGTCATTGTTTCTCATGTCTTGCCTGATAACCTCAAATCAAGTTGGTACCAGATATATACGAGTAAGCCTAGGAGGACTATGATGCAAGAGAAATTATTAATTCACATTTTAAGAAATGCTTCTTAGACCTTGTTCAGGTAACCTGTCAAACTATTAAGCAGAAAACTCTGCCTTCTTCAGCTTCCCCTTACTAAAGAGCATCTGCCATCACCACACCTCATCTGGGTTTGCTAGATGATATCCCTGGAGTTAGCATCCTCACCCTTGGCATTTAGTACACAAGCCTGCTTCCCTAGTCCAGCTTTACCGTGTCCTTCATGGCCTTCTTTATTTCCTGGAAGACCACTGAAATCCTAACAGATTGCTCCAAGAAGGTTTTTTTTTCCAAATCTTTTTTCGCAATTATATAGATTCCAAAAGTTGTATTCTTTTGCCTCCAAAAAGGTATATTCAACAAAAGCAGATTTCTATAGCAGGCCTTATAATTCACAATGCTGTCTTCATAAGATTTGCTGAAAATTACTCTGGATAAATTTAACTCAGATTTTGCCAATGTCAGTTTTGACATCCATCCATCCATCCACCCATCCAAATTTCTCCTCTGGACAAATCTGTAAAGGTGATAAATAGACTTTGAAAACCCTAGTCCTAATACTAACCCTAGGGCTTCCAACCCATTTCTTGGAGTCTGACAGACTGGATCTGTTGAGTGAAGCCACATTTACAACACTTTTACACTTGGGTGACTGTCCTATTCATTCACTGGATTTTACTGCTCCCTCAACAGTGACAATAGAGCAAAAAGCATTTCTGAACTACAGCTATCTTACTTTACAGGCTGATTTGTTTAAGATATGAGAAAAGTGTTAAAAGACTAGGCTAAGTGAAAGTGAGGACACATCTCATTTTGTCTCTTCAGTTATGAAAGTGATAACACCCAGCAGAGGAGTAGGGTAGAGAGACAGATGTGGTAAAATCCAAAGCTGCCTCTGCTAAATGAGACACTCCTTGAGCAAAGGCCGAAGTTGAGTCTAGATCTGGAATTTAAGAGTAATCATATCCATAAATAATAATAAAAAATAATAAGTGCACTTATTTGATGTTTTCACTAGACAGAGGTAGGTCAGTCTACTACATGGGCCCACATTCAAATTGGAAAAACTACATTAGTGTTTAACAATCAGAATTAAAGTTGAGTTGCCAAGGGCTGAGTTGACTTCCCAATTGATTGGGGTTAGTGTTGTATTTAGACGGGGTGGATAGGCTAAGATTAGGACAGGCAGTGCCCCTGGGGAACTAGCAAAACTGGCAGGTACCATCAGCTTAAAAGTGACAACTATCTTGAGGTTCAAGGTAGCAAGTTTTGGTAAATCAGCAGACCACCTACGGCTGACAACCAGGTGAATTTTAAGGCCCTGGCTGGTTTTGGGATCCCCAGCAGTTGTCAGTGAGCTAGCAACAGCTTTTGTGTCATAAGGTGTTTTAGAGTATGTTTAGGATGGGTGCTGCCAGGGATCACACAGCACAGGTATCAATATCTTAGAAATACACTTCAAGCCATCAGCTGAAAAACAGCTACCAGAGGTTTTTTTACTTTTTACCACACCTCCAAAACTTCAGGCTTCAAAGGGAACAGATTCACACATTCCCTATCATATGACTAATGGTAGCAGCATTAACAGCTGAGCAAGGTATATGACAAGGCTCTGGAGTTCAATGAATGGCGAGAAGTTTGCTGTAAGCATTTATAATGATACCGAAGAAACACATTTTTTTAAATTCTAGATTGGAATCTTTCCAGTCTGTCTGAACACATTTTGTATTTGAACTGATGTAAAAGGTAAAAATGTGACTTGGTAATAAAAGTTGGATAGTCTGAGTGGGACTGCGAACATCAGGTCACAGCAGATTCCTGAAAGACACTTGGTGAGCTACCTTGATAATGGTCGTAATGATGGCATTGTAAATTCCGAGGCCTAGTCAGTGTGAACAGGCTTTGCTAAGAAATTAGAAATATTCTACTATTAGAGCTGAATGCCAAATGGCTGTGAATGACTCCAATCCTTATCCAATTAACACTTGTTGGCAGCAGTGGAAAGGGTTGCTCAATTTCAGTTGTGGAGGATCAGGCTATTTGGTGCCTGAGGTCAGACCCATCCAGTGTTTGCATCAGTGGACACTCTGGCTCACAGCAGAATTTACCATTATCTGACATTGGTCTCAGCACTGGTCTTCATACAATTTGTCTGTTTCCAGGATGGGATCTTCCAGAAAGGTCAAACTGGCAGAATCAGTCCATTGGAATAAGCCTCAACCTGTGGGAGAAGGAGGCTGTAAGGCTATTCTTAACTCACAGTTTCTTATCTAGTCTGTTGTTGTCACTTAAGGTATATATTGCATTTTCCTGCTATTAAAAGTATCTTTCAATAATTATATTGCTCATTTATTAGCTATTAAAAAGCATATGTCTCTTTTGGGGCAATCTCAGCTCAGACATATTTTTCACAGTAAGTGTGGGATTGTGAGTGGGACTTCAGAAAAAGAACCATCTCATCATACAGGAAAGCAGTGCTTCTAACCTACTCAAGTAAGACTCATTGATTTCAATATCTTTTAGTCTCAGAGTGGCTCATTTGACTTATGACTAGTATTGAATCATTCTGTGGTTTGAGGTTTGGGGGAATTTTGAACAAAGGAAATGTGCACTATGACCAAAGCTATTCAGCAAATTTAATCCAAATATATTAATATTTTCCATCAACCTGAACCATCAAACTGTATTAAGCACTGAAAGAACAGTAGTGAGAAATAAAAAATTACTGGCACAGTTCTCTCATCAAGCAATAGTTCCTCTGAACTAAGAAAACAAACATCCCATGCTGGTACATGACAGTATTATTTTTTCAACATATTAGGCTGAGAGTAACAAAAGTCTGAGAATAGGTTGCTCTCTCAAGTTAACTTAAAAGTTCAGTAATGAAAGCCCTTGGAGATTATACAGCAGGAAAGGTCATGGCACAATACAATGCACACTTCCATAGTGCAGTAACATAGAACCTTTCACCTAGAAATACACTTTAACAGGAAACACAGAGGATTTTTTACTGGTTTTTGTATAGCAATATAACATCAGTAACTTGGAGCATATAAAATAATTAACTATATTACTTCCTTTTTAATGGAAATTCCATCAAACCTAATTCATAATTTGGATACTTGCAAGACTGATAATCTTTTGTGACTTTGAAGTTTTTTTTTTCCCTCTTGAAAAAGAGGTAAAATATTAGCACTAGCTGCTGAAGCAACCACAGCAAGCTTTTATAAAACTATTCTTAAAACCAAATATAAAGTCTTCTGTGGGAGTGGTTCACCACTTCTTTTGGCTGCCATGCAGGAACTCTTTTAGCAAAGAAGATAAAAACAAGAGCTGAGCACAGAATAATTATACACTAGAGATAACTCTGGATTGAGATTTCTTGACATTGTGTATTGGAGAATGACACTGTCACTTGTTTATGATGTAGATGTAACATGCCCCACATTTGTTATTGTTAATTGTAGATTATTTATTTCTCT